CGTGGGTGCAGTTTAACCCGGGGGGTCAGGCCTAGAGGTAGACTCTGGCGGGGGGGGAAGAAGCGGCCCAGGGCGGGGCCGCGGAACCCGTGAGCGGGGGAGTTTAGGGTTCGCAGACCCCCCCCCCCCATTGTGAGTGAGGACCAGTGTCCTGACTCCAGGGCCCTGGGTTGGGGTCCGGAGTGAGGGCGGGCGCGGGCCCGGACCCCCTTACTCTCCCCCTTTCCCGAGTGTGTGGCCGCTGAATAGGCGGCGGTGTAATCCGTGCGTGGCATTGCACTGTGGGACTAGCAAGGTTGCAAAACCCTTGAGCGGCAGGAGGGGCGCGCCCGGCAATAGGACGGTTAAAAGGGGGGGCTTTCCCCTCCCCCCTTCTTCCGGCGGCGGGGCGCCTTACACATTGACCCCCCTTACTCTCCCCCTTTCCCGAGTGTGTGGCCGCTGAATAGGCGGCGGTGTAATCCGTGCGTGGCATTGCACTGTGGGACTAGCAAGGTTGCAAAACCCTTGAGCGGCAGGAGGGGCGCGCCCGGCAATAGGACGGTTAAAAGGGGGGGCTTTCCCCTCCCCCCTTCTTCCGGCGGCGGGGCGCCTTACACATTGACTTCAGTTTGAGCAGAAAAACAGGTCCTTTCTATGGGCTCAGTGGGCTTGAATCTGTATTACCTTATATAATGTACAGCCATTTACCCTAGCGTGAAATGGTAGTGAACCTGAAATTCTTCACACACTTGGATTGGTGGTCATGTTTTGCACCTGCACCACAAAAATGTTAATGGCTATACAAAGTGTGAACTAATGAAGAAACAAGCCCACTATTGTTAGCCTCCTGGGCCCATTTGCTTGCAGACAAAACTCCCACTGAAGTCTGTAAGGGGCAGTGAGCATTGAAGAGTTCCACTGATGGTTTCAAAATGATCAGCTGTCTGACCTAAGAGAGCTGAACTACAAGGTGACATTCAATATCTGTGTGTAGGGTTGACAGGTGTCTGGTTTTGCCCAGACTGTCCATTATTTGGGTCCCCCGTCCAGTAAAAAAAAAAGAAAATACCAGACATGTGAAATGTCCGGTATTTCCTGTTTCCCTCAGAGGGAAGCCCAGCGGGGACCATTTTCCTCTGCCGCGTCTGGCAGGGACAGGGGAGTGAGGAGCGCAGCAGAGGCGTAGTGAAGGGAGGGCAGTAGGGGGCACTTGCTGGGTGCCACGCCCTCATGCCAGGCTAGGATGGGAGCAGAGTGCACGCTTGTCCGGCCCACATAACCCTTTGAGCAGAGACCTGGGAGCTGGCCATGTGATGCCTCCTTCTACACACTGTGAGCCAAGGCAGCAGGGCTAGGTGGCAGGAACAGTGACTTTAAAAGTAAGATTTCCTTACCCGGCTGTCACATTCCTCCAGTGCCTGGCTCTGCAGGGGTGATTTGATTGGGGTGGGGCGCTCTGGCACTGGGGATGCCTGTCTCGGGGGAGAGGAGAGTGCACTGGGATGGGGGATGCTGTGGGGATGCCTGGCTCTGAGGCAGGGGTGAGTGCATAAGGACAAGAAGCAATGAGCTTAAATTGCAGCAAGGGAGGTTTAGGTTGGACATTAGGAAAAACTTCCTGTCAGTGTGGATAAACACTGGAATAAATTGCCTAGGGAGGTTGTGGAATCTCCGTCATTGGAGATTTTAAAGGACAAATGTGTAAATAATAACCAATACATGACCGCCACTCAAGGAGGTGGAGCTTTCCTTGCACCTTCCTCTTCAGCGTAGGAGTCTATACATCCTGTTCTCCCTCTCTTTTTTGGGGAGGGGGGGGGATTTGGTTGCTTGTTTATTTGTTTTTTTAAGTGCCTGGAAGTTTCATTAAACTGTATTATTTTGCCATGCTGAGAGATGCACTGCTTCTCTGAAAATGCTATGGAAATTCTGGCAGTGAAGTGCCAAAATCAGCAAGAAATCAGCAAGCAATATGTAATGATTTAAGGTTCCGTTCAAAATAAAACCTGCTTGGATTTCCACACCGCAGGGCAAGGCCCAAGAGGAGAAGGGATTCATTTTAACATTGGGTTGGCTCTTTGGTGCTGTTAAGCTGGAAAGAATTTAAGGGATTTTACAAAGGATAAAAGCCACCAAGACGTTAAATGCAAAAATAGGTTTTTTAATATTTTATTTTTAATAGTAATTTTTGGGTGTAGATCTGAAGGCACTTCATAGAGGTGACTAAGCTTCATGAAAGCCATATAAGCAACTAGATAGCAGGCTAGTCAGATGACTATTTCCATTCAACTAATATGGAATCTGAGGGCAGGTCCATACTAGAAAGCTAGGTGGACCCAGCTACATCACTCAGAGGCAGGGGTGTAGCCACAAATGGGCCTGAGTGGGTTGTGGCCCACCCACTTTGCATCCAGGCCTTCCCAGTGCTCCAGCAAGAAAGCAGGGCTGGTGTGCTGGGGCTTATCCCACTCCGCCCCGGCATTCTGGCTGGGGAGCAGGTTGGGTCAAGGCTTTCCCCCATCCGACCATCCACTCCCTCCCATTTTTGCCCATCTACCCAAAGTCGGGGCCCCCTTCTGGCTATGCCACTGCTCCCTACGTGTGAAAAATGCACACTCCTGAGTCCCATAATTAAGTTGACCTAACACTAGGTGTAGACAGCACTAAGTAGATGGAAGAATTCTTCCATCAACTTAGCTTCTGCCTCTCAGGGACACAAAATTACCTACGGCGACAGGAGAACCCATCTTATGGCTGTAGTAAGTGTCTGTGCTGAAACACTACAGCGGTGCATCTTCAGCAGTTTAAAGTACAAGATCCACATTTTCAAATATGTCCTCTCAGTGTGTCTGAAGGTGAGGGTTGCCAGGTGTCTGGTTTTGAACTGGACAGTCCAGTATTTGAGCTTTCTGTTCAGGAAACAAATTGAGAAAATTTAAACAAGAGAATATAAATGTCCGGTGTTTTCTAAATAAGATGTAATGTAGATTATGATGTAAAATCAAGTGTGTCTGGTATTTTTGTTGAAACCATCTGGCAACCCTGTTTATGTGGTGGACAGGTTTGTTTGTTTTTTCCAGGGGTGCGTGTGCAAGAGCTGAGCTGGATGGCCCAATCCACAACCACATACTGTCATTGAGAATCTTTCCATTTGCTTTAGTAGCTTTTGGTTCAGGCCCTAAGAGAAGACACAGCAGAGAGCCCCAAAATAGAACTCTGAAAGGGAGGTTTGGGTTTTCTTTTTAGTGATAAGAAAACTGAGAGGAGAAAATAGAAAAGGATGGCACCCCAAAGATCATTTGATTGGCCTTTGTCTTGAAAGTTTGGGGCCTGACAAAGTGTTATTCCAGTTAATTGCCAGTGTAAGTGCCCTGAAATAAGGCCCTTTTTATTTCATTTTTATATCTGTGACTGGTCAGGTTAAAAAGGGATAGAAGAGAGAAACTGTAAGCCAAATGGCAGAGATAAAATTATAGAAGTTGAAAGTATATTTTTTTCCCTTGGAGTTTTATCACATCTAAAACTAATCAAGGCAGGCAAAAGGCTTTAATTAGGGATCAACCTTGCACTAATGGCATGTACAGAACTCCCACTGGGTTGCAGTTTCCAAGGCAAATTGGGCAACATTGTGTTACCATATGATAGCCTGAAAGTGATTCTAAAAGGACTATAAACAGAAGTGAAACTGACCACTTGATTCTCAGAATCCAGCCTGAGAATACTGTAAAAGGTAATGATGATATGTACATTTTCAATTTCTTTCCATTTTAATAATCGGAGATGTAAAACCTATTTGTCACATAGGTAAGGTCAATAAAATGTACAAGTTTTAACCTGACAGCATACGTCAAAATGGGCTTAGTTGATGAGTGTCGATATGTATAGCTGATTTTTAGGCTTAGCAGAAACATAGGGCATAATTTTCAGTTAATTAACAGGTAGGTGGATGTCTACACACGATATAGTAAGAATTTTGATTGAGGGAGGCCTGCAGGATTTGTCCTTGTAATTTTAGTTCCAGTTGGGACATAATCTTTAATTTCTCAGATCTCTTTAAACAATAGCATAAATATTTGGCAGCATGCATTCTATCATTAGAACATTACTGTTATGCAATAATTTTTTTCTATTAAATGCCAGTGACCAGTCAGAATATTAAAATATGTATCGATTTTAGATGAAAAATTAAAACTATATTTCATTTGTTCATGCATCAAAAATGACAGTGAAAAAATACAGCCCTCATCTTGGAATGAAGCTCAGTTTGAAAATAAAATTGTTATAAATGCTCAAGTATGCATTCATGTTTTATAACCTGTCTTCTAGAAATGCTTACCATCATTAGGATTTAACAGCAAAATTCAATTGTCAGAGGATTTATTCTCATAAGAAAATTATATGCTTTCCTCCCCCCAGAAATATTTTATCATGAAGGCATATCACTTTGAGAGCAATCAGACATGCAAATAGCCCTTCCAAAAATCAAGCAAGTCCTTGAAGAGATTTAAAAATAGAAAACCTTGCATTTCATCATGGATCACAAGACTGAAGAGAAAAGGAAGCAGCGACATAGTTTGACTTTACTGGATCAATTAAACAGTATGAAAGAATTAACACAAATGATTGATGTGGTCATTGTAGCAGAAGGTGAGAAGTTCCCGTGCCATAAACTTATATTGGCTGCTTTCAGTCCTTATTTCAAAGCCATGTTTACATGTGGCTTGCTTGAGTGCACCCAAAGAGAAGTGGTACTCTATGACATCTCAGCAGAGAGCGTGTCTATAATACTCAAATACATGTACAGTGCAGATTTGCACCTCACTAATTCCAATGTGCAAAGTGTTGCAGTTGCTGCATTTTTTATGCAGATGGAAGATGTTTTCAGTATGTGTCAGAAATACATGATGGACCACATGGATGCTTCCAACTGTGTGGGAATCTACTATTTTGCAAAGCACATTGGGGCAGAAGATTTGTCTGATCAAGCCAGACAATATTTGTATCAGCAATTTGCTGAGGTGAGCTTGCATGAAGAAATATTAGAGATTGAAGCACAGCAATTGCTGAGTCTCATAAGATCAGATGATCTGAATGTATCTCGGGAGGAGAGCATTTTGGACTTGGTCCTCAGATGGGTAAACCACAGCAGAAAATCACGTGTCGAGCATCTTATTGAACTTTTGAAGCAAGTTAGACTGGAACTTGTAAGCCCTTCTTTCCTAGTGGAAGCTCGGAAAAGGAACACAGTGCTTCTGTCTAATTCAGAATGTCATGATATGATTGATGGAGCGTTAGAAATGATAAAGAAATCCAACCACCCCTTTCTCAGTCTTCGTTATGGCATGGAGACCACCAATCTTCTCCTTTGCGTTGGCAATAATTCTCTGGGGATTCGATCAAGACATGGTAGCTATGCAGATGCCAGTTTTTGTTATGCTCCTGCAACCCAAAAGACTTACTTCATTTCCTCCCCAAAGTATGGTGAGGGGTTAGGAAGTGTGTGTACTGGTGTTGTCACTGAGAACAATGATATTATTGTGGCAGGGGAGGCCAGTGCTGCCAAAATGTCTAGACAAAAAACCAAGAACATTGAAATTTATAGGTTTGTATCCGCAAATGGGAGGGAGAAATGAATAATTGTTTTTAAAATTAAATTCTAAATAATGTCTCAGGAACAGGAAAAGGGCACTAGTGAAAGCACTCTTCTCTTCATATGTTTGGATACAGATTTTAGTTACCCAAAGCAATTTGTTGTGAAGGGAAATCCATCCATTTCCACGAAACACTGAAGCATCTCCGGCTATATTTAAGGCCAAATTCTGACCCTTTTACCTCATGAGAAGGCCCATTGGCTTAGATGGAATAAGTAAAATTAGCTGAATTTGGTCCTAAATCTCTTTCTGTGTACCTCATATTCCCTTAACTCAAAGGTCACCAGTTGTTAATATTTTCTTTCCTGGATCATTCCTCCAGATCATTTATTTCATAGTGGTGCTGATGTCTGAAATTAACAAATGAGTTTGGTCATCTGTGAATCTACACTCAACTTTAACTATACCATACTGATGATATATGGGAGCTAAAATGTAATAATAATAATAATAATAATAATAATAATAAATGAATAAAAATATATCCTGAAACCTTCACTCTGTTTTTACTTAGTCCTCCCTCAGATAAATCCATGGTAAGGAACATGGGAGCTTAGCAGGAATCAAGACAGATTAAAAACTGAAGCCAACATCTGCAAACATTGGGCCTGAACTGAGGAACATAAATCCATAACTAGGCACTGAAATAAATGCAGCCTTTGTTTCAGAGGTGCTACTGCAGCTGTCACTGAGTGCAGTTGAACTTATGATTGCTCAGCTCATGCAAAATAAGGACGCTTTAATTATGGTCAGCATTTTCAAACTTGGGTGCCTAGAATTAGGTTCCTAAATCCATACTATAGCCCTGATAGTGCAAACACTTACGCGTGTGAGTAATTTGATGCTCATAATTAATCCTACCGAGTTCAAGGTTAGAAACTTTTCTTCTCTATTAATAAGAGAAAAAACTTCTGTTGCCACTGTAACATTATCTGAAACTGGAGAAGGGAAATTTAAATACAAAATTGGTATGAACTTATCAGAACCACAGTTTCTAATTTTGGATTTTCCTACAGGTACCACAATAGAGGAAACCGGTTTTGGCAAAGTTTGTGTACTGCTCAGTTTCGTGAACTCTATGCATTGGGCACTGTTCATAATGACTTGTATCTCATAGGAGGGCAAATTAAATTGAAAAACCAGTATCTGGTCACAAACTGTGTTGAGAAGTACTCCATGGAGCGAGATAGCTGGAGAAGTGTGGCACCTCTTCCAGTGCAACTGGCCTGCCATGCTGTGGTAACAGTAAATAATAAACTCTACGTGATGGGAGGCTGGACACCACAGGTAAAGAAGTTTGCTAATTATTTTATTATATGGGAGCTACCTATCATGGCTTGTGTGCTGCATAATTTTGTGGCTCTTTATGTATAGCTAAAAGATCTCAGTTGCAAGATAAGTTGAAATTTCTTAGTGAGAAAAAATAAAAATACAACCTGTCTATGGTAATGATTATACTTGGCTTGTGCCTGGCACTTTCATATCCCACTAATTAGTAATTGACCTTTATAGCTTTTCTATCATCAGCAAATAGTTTTGTTTAAATAAGAAACACAAACAAATCCTACATCTTGGCAGGGAGTTAGATTAGATGACCCTTGTGGTCCCTTCTAATTCTGTGGTTCTATGGTTTAAGACATGGGCCCAGACTAGAATCCAAAATTAAATCCCTCTAAACTCTGGTAAATTTCAGGGCCCAATTCATATACAGGCTTCAAAGCTCAGCTCCACTTCTGGGGAAAACTTTCTGGTTTTAGATGTTTGTTTTTTAACAAAAAGTTTTGTCACAGTGCAATTTTCTACCAAATATTTTGCGAGATTTTATTTTGAACATATATAAGGTGTGGTGTTGATAGTAGGGTATCAAAAATATGATCACATTTCATTGGCTTGGGAGCACTTTTTAGAAACAAATCTTTAAAAATTTGAGACTAAAACATGTTCAGCAAATATAATTTGTATCTAAGATATTTTGAGCGTGCAAATCCCTAAGGAGGCAATAGAATAATAGAAGAGGTGGGGCCTCAGGTGGAAAGGGCAGTGCTGGGGTTGGCTAGCCCTCAGCGCTGCCTGGAGTGCGCCATGCCTCCCCTGCCCAGCCCTCACAGCCACCTGAAGCATTCTGCATGGCACTCTGGTGGCAATTTAAAGGGCTTGGAGCTCTGGCTGCTGCCACTGCTCCTGCGGTAGCCGTGGTAATGGCTGTGAGACCCAGGCTCTTTTGATTCACTGGGCCTCGGGGCAACTGTCCCCTTCCCTGACCATGTCAGCTGGCCTGGTTACATAAGTATCTATCTGCACAGGTCAGAATGCATTTGCCACAATGGTTAAATAAAAATGTTAAGACCAATGCCTCAGTGGTAGTTGTTTTGCTTCAATATTAGTACGTTCCCCTCAGGTACTTGGGACATGTCTACACTTCAGGGCTAAAGCCGAAATAAGCTACATAACTTGAGCTATGTCAATTGCGTAGCTTAAGTCGAAATAGTTTATTTTGGCTTTTGGTGCTATCTACACAGCAGGAAGTCCGAGGTACAGCACTCTTCCTCCGACTTCCCTTATCCTTGTAAAATGAGGGTTACAGGAATCGGAGTGAGAAGTCCTCCAGCTTGACATTATTTCAATATTATGAAGATACAGACTGTTAATCAGAAATAACACTGCTGTGTATGTATGATATTATCAAATAAGAAGTATGAAAGCATATTAAAGCTTCTCAGGTTAGGAGTTACCTTTATATTGCAACAACCCTGACCACTCTCTCAGTCAGCCTTGACAAACATTAATGATATAACATTGCTGTAGGGCCATGAGTGTACATGTCAATTCACAGTTCTCTTGGGCATAATAAAAGGAAGCTGCTCCCTGTAAGGGTGGTCTAGAGAAGAGAGGTTTCTGGAGCAAGGAACTATCACAAGGACAAAGCTCTCAAGGGGGATTCTGGTGAAGGGACTCACTAGGAAGGAAAACCAATGAAGCATATTCCTAGATGGGAGAGATTTCAAACGGGAGGAGCTATGAATGTCAGGGGTCAGTGGCCTCTGGACCCTGTGGAAGGATTTCATCAGGTAGCAAGAGAAGCCCCTGATCAGAGGAATTATAGCCTGTTCTGAGGAAGCGTGGTCATGGTTTGATCTCTGTGGGGACTTTGATCCAGAAGGAGAGAACCTTTCTCAGTCAATGACAAAAGGCCCAGCTCCAGAAGATGGTTCCGGAACAAGAGGGCCTTGCTGGTAAGGGACCTAAACATAAATGGGTTGATGGACTAAAATTAATTCAGGCCCCTCTCCCGCCAGCTAGAGAGGGAGAGGGAGGCCTATTTGTATAGTGTTCCATCTTTGGGTTAAATAAACTAGATCCTATTAGGCATTGTTCCATACACATCTATCTTGTTGTCCTAACTGAAAACCCACTGGGGGAACTGCAGTAGATATGTAATTGTGATGCTCTACTGGATAGCCAGAGGATGTCCAGGAGTGAGGACCTCCATCACAGATAGGTCTGGGAGTTGGCTGATGAGAGTAGTGAAATGGCTGCAGATGCTGGGAGCAGAATGCAAGAAAGTGTGAAGTTGAGTGTCCTGTACACAAAAAGCAATGCATTCACCTGTTCAGTGTAAATTACTTTAATTGTGTAGGCTTTTATTCCTTGACCATTGCCATGGTGTCAGAGTGTCTTTATACTAAAGCTGTGTCTATATTTGCATTTACTCAACAAAACTTTTGTTATTCATGAATGCTTAATACCCCCCACCCCGTGAACAACAAAATGTTGTCATAGCAAGTGCATGTGTGAACATTGCTTTGTCCTCAGGAAACCCACTTATGGGGGTAAAAGCATTTTGCTGGTAACACTGCTGACAAACAGCATTCACACATGCTGACTTTTAATGTCAGGGCTGTGTCAACACATACTGGATGCTAAAAGCAGCATAGTGTAGACATATCCTATGGCTATGTCAATATTGGCAATTGAACGACAAAACTGTGTTTCGAGGTGCAAACAGCCATTCCAATAAAGACAAAATTTTTATGCAAGAAGTGCCAGTGTGAACAGTACATTGTCGGCAGGGGTGCTCTCCTGCCGACAGCACAAATGCTGTTCATTGGGGGTAGAAGTATTTTGTCAGCAAAAGAGCCAACAGATAGCCATGCTACTGCCTGATTTTTAGTGACATGGCTGTGTTGACGTGACTATGTCGATGAAAGCTGTCTAATGTAGCCAAAGCCTTAGAAAAACAGTAAAAAAGATCAAATGTAGTAACCCCATGAATGAGTTTATGTGTGTTCGCTCTCTCTCATTAAGCCCTTTAATCTTAAAATACTTTAGAGCTCTCTCCCACAACAGACTGCTTACATTTAAAAGTGCTCTGAAAACATAATTATAGCTACTTGTGTAACATCAGAAGATGGAGAAAATTGGGAGGAAGACGGATGAACAAGGGGAGTAGGAGTGGATATAGGAGGAGTGTAAAGATGTAGATGGAAGCTAGGGGTTTATTATTGAAACTATAAAATGGAAAGATTTAGCAATTGTTCAATTTTAATTTTGTTGATTAAATATATGTTATTTCAGAACAAATATTGTATATAAAGCGGATTTTAAAATGGCTTTTAATTTATCCAATCAAATCTCATGATACAGCATGAGTAATCAAGTAAATAGAAATTCAGGCTTCAGGAAGAAAGGAAAGTATTGAAAAAAGGTTTTGACTTATTCTTAGAGCTTTGCAGAGGCCTTGTAAAAGAGCTATGTTCTGTCAGCTCTGTGCCCATAGATGTTTTGTTGTTACCCAAATCCTTAGCTTTTTTTGCTATAGAATATAAACACGCTGTTATTCATCAGCCTTCTACAATGTACTTCCAGCCACAAGTCATGGGTGCTGCTAAATCGTAGTGAGTATGAATCACTTCGCAGCTATAATTGATGTGTTTATGTTATTTATCTGCTCAGCTGTCTGCTGTGATTAATTGCACGCAGGCGTGTCCAGAGGGCTCCAAATGTTGTATTATTATATGGCTGTCATATTTCATACAGATGGATCTCCCTGACGATGAGCTGGATCGATTAAGTAACAGAATGTTGCAGTATGACCCAGGCCAAGACAAATGGACAGAGTGCGCACCAATGAAGTACTCCAAATACCGTTTCAGCACAGCTGTAGTCAACAGTGAGATTTATGTCTTGGGTAAGAGGAAACAAATTTTTAACAGATAACACAACCACTTTTTATTTTTTCCAGCAATTTGCCTCTGTGAAATGAAAAATTGTGCCTTTTGTTTTCCACTATAGGGCAAAGGATATTGGACCAAATGGATTGAGGTTTTTTATTTTCTTTTTATAATTTCTTGCTTTCTTAAGTTTCAATGTGTGGCGTTGAAATTAAACTTCATTGCTCTGGCTTTGATATACTTTGTTTAACACTTTCTCTCTGAGGAGCTCAATATGAATGAGAAATAAAAAACAGCCTTTTTGGGTAGGGAAGTATCATTACTACCATTTTACAGCTGAGTTACAGAAAGGAGAAGTAACTTGCCCAAGAGATCTGGTAGAGGGGTGTGACGGGGCAGAGGCGCCCCGCACTCTGATCCCCCTGGAAGTTGCCCTCGCGGCGACCCAGGGGTCGGAGCGAGAAGCCCCGGCACCAGCCGCACTACGAGCGGCGGCGTGTGGGCAGGCACCGGAGGCGCCAGGGACAAACTGGGCAGCCCCAGCGCGGGGTGAGCGGTGATGCGCCGGGTGGTCCCAGGCCGCAGAGGCGGCAACGCGCCTGCACCCGCCAAGACCACGCCTGACGTTACGCGGGGGGCGGCACCAGAAGGCGGGGGG